ATTGACATTTAAGAAAATAATTGATATTTATTAATTAAAAACTAAAGTCAATTAACAAATTAAAGTATTCAAATACAACTCTTTAAAAAAGAAAAAAAAGATATAATCATGTGGTCCCAACACTTTTGAGTGAGACAATGACCTCATCTTTTTTTTCTTTTATGCCTTTAAGGGAATAATTAATAAATAATTTTTAACATTAATTTGTATTAAAAACTATAAAAATTGATATTAATTTTATTATATATGTCACATAGATCATTTTAATTAGTTAAGCCATTTATTTCAAAATATAAATTATTTGATTTTTTTTCTCACGTAATTTTATATAGTATTTTTTATACTATATGGATGATAATTGAGATTTTTTTCTTATATGTAGTTACTGTTTAGTAATTTCATTTTATCAAAAAATTTTAATATATGTCCAAAGATTATAAAAAATTTGGCCTAAAAATAGGTGCAAAAAAGTCAAAAATTTTATAATTTAAAACTAAGTGAATAATTAATTAATTAAAGATTAATTTTTTTAATATTAATTAGTGTAAAAAATGTACCCTTAATTTGTACCTTAAAAATACATGTTAGAAAAATTTATAAATTTATAATGAGATTTTACCTAGTGCATTTTTGTTGGAATTGAATTAGAATTTGATTGCATTTTTGTTGGAATTGGATTAGAGTTTGATTAATATTGTTTATTGAAAGTTTATTGTGATTTGATGAGATCTACTGCTTTGATGAACTTAGTGGCTTTAATGAAACTAGTAACTGGGTTCGATGATAGAAAACTCAAATTTTGCTCTGGAGCATTCTAGGGTTCATAGTTCTTTACAAGTTTTAGTGCGTTTGATTTATGATAATATTACGTGGTATAATGTTTTGTCCATATCAGTATCTTTTTAAGTTGTTTTCTCCGTGTCATCAAACAAAATATAAAAAATGCCACATGAGCATACTTAACGGTTCAAATTGACGGGAGGACTAACGTTGTGCATTTTTTAGAGTTGACGGATTAAAAGAGTGCAAAAAATTGTTGAGGGATCAAAAAAGTGCAACTTTATAAAGTTAAAGGACCAAATTTAGCATTTAACCTTCTTGGATCATGACAAGTAGTTAAAGATTCTATATTTTAATATTGAAGATTTTAAATTTAAATTCTAAAACAAGTGAGCATGAATTTAAGAATGGAAGATTAT